TTCAGTTATGCGTAACTACAAAGGCATATCGACTGAAATTACGGCATGCGAATACACATTACACACAGAGGGCCAACTTTTTCGTTCGCAATTAGTGGAATGCGCTGCAAACGGCGCTTCATTTACCAGAGTGCCCGTCACTGTGGCACATGTGAGTTACGAGTGAAGCGTCTGAGCGTTACACGTGCTCCATTATCCGATGTCAGTTACCACAGTGATGACACGTGATACACGGCCGAACCTTTGACCTCATCTCGCATTCCGCGCTGATTATGCGGCTGCGAGGTCACCGTCGTTTGGTGAGCGACTCTCGCATGGCGTGAGGTTCTGTATTGAAACCACTCAGCCCACCTGGATTGGTGGCAATAGGCGGATTCAGACAGGTAGCATTGGACATGTGGGGCCTACCATATCCCTTAAAATTTTTCTCTGGTCAGTAATTGGTTGGTGACCCTGCAAACTTCTTTCACAGCGTCATTACAGGAACACTTGAAAGCATTTATAGTTAACACATTCTAGTATTTTACAAGTGAGAGGAGGATGATGACAATTGACATTGTCTACCTGTCTCAGCTAAAACGCATAAATCCCAGTTGCTATTGGCGGCTGGCGCCTCTGAGTGGCACCATAACGTTTTGAGTGCAATGCTAGCAAAGCCTGACCAGTGACCACTCACTTCATAATTGGACAGATATGCTGGACAAACAAGGATCGACACATCATTAGATATAGGTATGGCTTAAAGATAACATACAAAATTAAAACATTGCACAAAACATTGCACATTCCAAAGCTATAGCCTTACAAGTGTTACAGCGCCCAAAAGGCAAGCAAAGAACATCCATGGCTGCCGAACAACATGTAAGTACACCGAGTCATAGGATACCGAAATGTTTCCCTAGAAAGCGAAACTTTTTGAAAACATGACGTACCGTTATCTAACTAGTGCCGTTCACATCAGATCCGTTAACGCTAAAAATAGGAGTGAACATCGGACAATGGAAATGATGGACAAGGAAAGGAGACTGGTCTGATTCACAGGGCATTCCATGAACGAACACAAGGCATTTTCTCTGAATTCCTGCTGCATAATACCTCACGGGTTGGAGCAATGATTGAGAACTTGTGTTAGAATGCCTGCTTGGCATATGTGGACAATTTGTATGGGCGGACATTAGAGGCGGCATATCTATGGCTTTCTTCCGGGTCGGTAGTCATGTAGACGTATTTGGAAATCGGCTCAGGTACTCTGTGCGCTGGGAATATTCAAAATGGTGTTATGTTCCTTGATTAATTTTAAGATAAAAGTGGTTTCAGTGAGACTGCCAAACGGTGCATAGTGCATACTGCATACAGTTTGCATTCAGCGATGCGGTAAATAATCGCCGGCACCATAGCATGAGGCATAACTATTACATCAAGAGTCAAAGAGAGTCCCTCGAATCAGTGGAATCCGGCAAGTCCAGCCGGCCGCGGACTCGCCGGTCAGCCGGTCGCAGACTCGCCGGCTGGCTCAGCCGTGACGACTGCGGAGCCCCAGCTCTGGGAGCCGCTGATTGCACTGTGCTCGGCCGTCTCCCCGGGCGCCATAAGGCTATCAATCACCCCCGGAGCAGCACGCTCTGAGCCAGTTTGAGCGGAGCTGACTGCAGCTGACGGTCGGCGGACCCGGGATCGGCAGGCCCCGGGAGGGAGCCTCCGCGCGCCACCTCTCCGAGCGCTCTCGGACGAACCGTGACGGCCGCCCGCACAGGCCGAGAGCACGCCGCCCGTGCCGAGCGCTCACCAATCATTTCTGATTCGCCGCGGGCCCGGCTCGCCCGATGCCTCCAAATCGGGCGGCACCCCGCCGCCGGCAGCCGCGCTCCACGGGCACCGGAAGCGGGGCTGATCCGGCCGCGCGCCGCACCCGCTCCCCGGGCAGGGGTGATCGTCCGGCCGGCGGCGGCGGAACCAGAGGAGGCCGCTGGTCGCTCGCCGGGCCTCTGCAGAGGTCACCGCAGTCGTGACTGTCGGCCGGCACCTGTGGATGATGGCCGCTCTGCAGGGCCACCCGTGGACCGATACATATATGAGCCGCCCCATGTGCCGGCCGGCCGCGGTTCTGGGCTGGTAGCAGCGTCTGTTGAAGAGGCGTTGGCCGGCGGAGGACAGCGGCTCTGCATAACCGGGCCGTGGCCGGACTGGCCGATATTTGCATGTCGCGCTGTCGGGACGGCCCGCCGCCGTCTGAGCCGCCGCCGCGCCGGTATGGTGGCCGTGGCTGAGGAATGTGCAGTGCACCGCCGCCTCGGCCCCGAGCGCCGAATCTGATGAGGTTTTTGTTGCTGCCGAGCAGCAAACATGTAAGATCACCATATGCAAGACCAAAACATTGGCATTAAAAGGCATCGGTATATGCATGCAAGGGACGCGATCGCTGAGATAGAAGCTGCTTTTGGTGACTGGGATATCCTTGCACAGCGCGGACTTGCAGACTTCCCTATAGGGTAAGAGCCGTTAGAGGCCGAATGCTGGCCAAAAGAAAGGATAAATAAGTCGGCTGTAAGAGCACGTAAGCGGTAAATAAGTTCAGTATGCTTTTGACGCATGTTTTCGCAATGAAAAGCTGGTCACAAGGCATGTACTCAGCATGCAACACTGTTTTGGCACCTGTTATTCTAATTTCCTCTGGTGGACAATAGAGCACGCGTGCAAGTAAGTCATTCCAGGCATCAAAAAATGCACAAACGTATCTGTCAGCCGTAATCGAGACCAATAGTTGATACAAATTTTGTCAGGCGCAGCCTCACAGATTCCTACATCCCAATTGTTGAAAAGGCATTTGCATCCCTAAGCGTGATTTCATTTGCAACGCAAAGGACAGATTTAATAAGCGGCGGTCAGCAGGTAGTCCTCTAGGATGTCATGGTCACCTAAGGCCGCCGTCCAGCATTTCAAGTCGTGAGAAGTTAAGTAATCTTGAGTCGTCAGCGCATAATTCGTTGTCCAACAGCCGCCGAATAATCAGCTGAATGCGATTCATCACGCATTCGGCACTGACGGAACCGTAGTCGGCGCGCAGTCCACAGACTCCAATATTAAATTCAGCGCGTACTCAACCGGTGAACGGCGGCCTTTAGAGTTGGCATCAGACATACTCGTATGTCCATGACCAATGATAGAGTAAGTTCTAATTAGATTCCAACTAAAACACACACAAAGACGTATCTCGCGCAGCTCTCAATCCTGCCTACGCCCGCAGAAAACGTTTTCTGCTTACGTTTTAACATTCCTTGAATATTACATTAGCAGAAAAACTATACGTATACGTCAGCCCGTTCGCTGAACCGTTTTGACGCACGTGACGTCACTGGCCGGCCGGCCGGTTGGTAACAGAGGCTGGCCCGGGGCGGTCCGACCTTCAGCTGGACGGCCGGGTAGGGGCGCCGCGCCTGGAAGGTGTCGACAGGGCCCGCTCTGCTCTGGATGGGAGAGCTGGGACCGGCCTTCGATACAGACAGCAGGGCTGGGACTCATGGGATGGGACAGGGAAGGAGCAGGGACGGGACAGCAGAGCTGGGACTCTGGGACAGAGCTGGTGGGAAACCTGCAGGTGCCGGGAGTGGACAGCAAGGTGTCTAAAAGCACTTTCTTGCAGCCATTGCCACTGACTGACTCACATTCCACTCGCGGGAGTTCGGCGCCTCGCCGCAGCGCCCGAGGCGCCCTCCATCTGGCGGCCCGTGCTGACCCTGCCCGGTGGATCCGTCCGCCCCACCCCACCCCAGCCCGCCGGCTCGTTAGTCGGGGAGTGCCGGTCGTGATCTGGTGCGGCCACTCCCGTTCCGGTCACCGTGGACGCTCTCCTGCAGAGCGGACGGTCAGCGCTCCGGTCTGCACCTTCCCCGGATAGCACGCCCACTTCCGACCGCGGCAGTATAACGGCCCTCACCTGTGACCATCCGGTGTGCATACCTATTCGATAATCAGATTGTGGTAAAATATACTGCATTGCAGTGGCCGAGGAAACAAATCGTCTACAGGGTGTTTCACTAAAAGTGTCAAAAAGTAAAAGGTCATAATGCACATAATAACAATGTTTTCTACGGAAATTTGCATACCATTTCATCCGCAATTGTTGGACATTTGAATATATAAAAAACGATAGCACCGTCACTCTAACCTATTGCACATATCCGCCCCTTCTTTTGATGCACCGTTTCGGCACGTGTCCGGAGGTGCCTCACAGCCCGTTTTCATCTTCAGCGTCCAGACTGTCGGCAAAGCCTTGAATGGTGCTCTTCAGCACCCGAAGTGATGCGATTTGAGTCTTCCTCAGCTCTGCGAGAGCTACTGACCAAAACCAGAAGTAAAGCGGTGACAGATCGGGGCTTCGCGCTGGCCAGAGGCCGGCGGCGAGGCAGATGACTTTTCGGCGCAGGAACTTCTAATCCAGCCTGGTGGTTACAGCCATTATAGTGGCTGTTTTTGATAACTTGTAAGGCCTTGGCTATTTCTGATGTTGAAATTAGCTTCTTGTTATCTTCAAGGACCCTTAAAAAACCCTGACCTTTTCAACGGTTTCCGCCGAGAGGTGGGGGACCCCGCCTTTTTTGGACTGGGACCGGCATCGAAGAAACCCTTTTAAACCACTCAAGAAGCCCTTTGAACCTTAAATAATCTGGAACGTAGCGAGGTGAGAGAATAAAACGTTTCCTGAAAATCGGCATACGGTTTCAATGTTTCTGATGGCACCAAAGGTAAGTGTAATTCACCCCTCCTGTTGCGGTGTAAATAACCTGTTCTTGTTCTGCATAAGGGAAAAAAACACTAGTAATTCTTTGGCCTCCTGCCCTCGCTCCGTATGAGTGTAAAATATATCTTACATGGACAAAGCATAAATGTCCAAAAATTTGCAACAAAGCCACGTGCGCAAACACGTGATTTGCATATTTTATATAACTTTAATAGGCATTTACTTTTTGACACTTTTAGTGAAACACCCTGTAGGTTGCCCGAAACGAATACCGTGACAATGTGAGGTGATGTAAGAATTGCTTTGCAAGTGCTAGAGATCCGGATGTAATTCAGCAGCCTTTCTACCCGTCTTCATTAGATGCATTATTAACTTAGCTTCGACATTTGAACTGTCAATGTTAATGTAACTGCCTGCTAATTCTATATTTTTGTTTTGCCCGGCTTTGGCTTTGGGTTTACGGTAAACTTTCAATGTCTGGAGAACGGTAAAGGTGTCCTTCCCCGCCCAATCCAACTTTCGTACGGATGGTCGTAGAGAGCCAGAAGTACGTCAAACAAGAGTTCACATCACAGGTGAGCGCCAAAATGTGTACGTAGATGGTTCTCATATTAGATCCAGGTAAAAGTAAAGGTTAAATTTGAAAGTATCGGGCGGCACTTTTGGCTTCCAGGCCCATTTGACGGAGAACGATTATTTGACGAACTGTTGATGGGCTTGAGTTGAGCTGAATATTAGCTGATGACCACTCGAACGAAATGGTGAGGTACATTATGTGAGGTAGTCAGGGGTGTAGGATCGCAAAATAGGTTGGGGGGGCTGAGCCACGGACGCCAGTGGGGGCGGCGACGAAAGGTGCTGACCGGGGGGGGGGAGGGAAAAACCAGCGGTGGAAAAGGTGTTGACCGGGGGGGGGGGGGGGGAGCTTGGACCGTGGTGGTGAAAAGCGGGTCTATGACTTGAGTGATATGACTTAATCTCTCCTCCTTGATCCAAGTTCAGGCTTATAAAATAAGGCGTAGGTATTTATACTCCGGCTCAACGTTTTACAACCACATGTCCACATTTATGCAGTGTATGTTCCCGCTCTTTTCAAATGCAAAGTGATGCCACTAAAACAGTATAGGTATGCTCTTCTTATACTTAACCCTCGCCCCGCTGGGGGGTCAATTTGCCCCCGTGTGTTTTTTTTTTCTGAATAACAAGAAAACGGCGGCGCGCAGCGCCGCCAAATTTTTGTACCTTATCGGGCATCAATTTGACACCTTCACACAAAATTTCAAGTCTTAGGTCACCTTAGGTCAGGAGTTATTGAGGTCAAACTGAGGTCATGTTCGAGCAAAAATGAGCAAAAAACATGAATTCTTGAAACGCTCACAAAAGCTACAGTTACTAAGCAAGCAAAGTTCTTTATAATGGTCATGTCGAGAAAAGACTGCGCTACAAATCTGCTATCTCGGATTTTAAAAATTGTGGGATTTTAACCCCCAAAATTCAAAAAGTTGATTAAAAAAAAAAAACGCAAAAAAAATCCAAAAGTTTTTTGACTTTCGAACAAACCGGAATTAATGTGATATTTCCTGCGCTCTTCTATCTGCATACCAATTTTAGATCGATACCTCTTTTTTGGTCAAGTTATAGTGAAAAACATGGGCGTCACCACCACTAGGGACACTAGGGACATTGTCCCTAGAAGTTTTGAAATCATCGAAAACTACTAGGGATTGTCCCTAGAAGTTTTTGGAGTTCCCTCTACTGGGGACACGCAAAGAACCCGGGACACGATAATGGCGCAACTTGCTCAGCTCTCCGAACACATGTGTTTTGCCTTGCGAACGGTCGCGTCAACATCGCCACGGTAAATAAAAAGGCCCGCGAGCGGTGTGCCTCCCCACAGATGTGACGGTGCCCTCCGGCCTCCAGGCACGTCCGTGTGGTCGCCGTAAAGAGCTGGATACGGCAGGCCGGCACTCGTTCGAGAAATTGGTCGAGTTTGTTTCCCAGTCACCTGAGGAGACACCCAAGCCGATTCTGGAGGTGCCCAGCATGATTGCTGAAACGAACTCGGCTGGTTACATACCGGTCCAGCTTATAAACCCGACCGATGACGATATGCAGCTGCCCGCCGGTTACGAGCTGGGGCAGACTCAGATGTATGAGGGGCTGGTCGCCACAGTCTGCGTGGACCAGGCGGGAGGTCAGGATCAGGGCAGTACTGGGCCGCCGCTCTGGGCCGGCCGCTGGCCAAGCCAACATTTCCTAAATCAATGCCCTCTGGAACATCGGAGTGGGGATCGGAGACGGCGGGTAGAGGGGGAAGGTATCAGTGCCATGCCCCCCCCCCCCCCCCAAGGGAAAATCAGGGGTCATCATATAATTTGCCCCCCCCCCCTCCCAAACAAGCCATGGGGCCCCGGCCCTTATTCGATTGTCACGAGGCTCAAGAAACCCACGCCAGCCATTAACAGCTCCATACCGGTCTTCGAGGGTCCTACACTGACCTCTGAGGGCCCTTCCATGGTGGTCAAGCGCCCACATTGACCGTGGAGGACACGCATTGACCTCTGAGGGCCCACCGCTGGCCTTTAAGAGCCCCTAAACTGGCCTCAAGGGCCCATCCGGCGTCTGAGGGCCTCACATCGGCCTCTGGTGGCATTTCTGTCTCTGGGGTACCAAGACTAACATTTACGTGTCCCTGACTCCTGAGGGCCCTGTACTGGATTTTGAAGACCCGATGCCGGCCTCTAAGGGCCTGCATCGGCCTCTGAGGGCCTATTTTGGCCTTTGGGGCCCTCTGCTGGTCTGTGGGATCTAACGCTGGCTCATACCGGTCTTTTAGGACCCAACACTGACTTCAGATGCCCCAATGCTGGCCTGTAAGGCCCATATTAGCCTCTGAGGGCCCCGCACTGGATTCTGAAGACCCGATGACGGCCTCTAAGGGCCCGCATCGGCCTCTGAGGGCCAATCTTGGCTTTTGAGGGCACTCTGCTGGTCTCTGGGGTCCAACGCTGGCCCATGCCGGTCTTTTACGACCCCACACTGATCTCTGAGGCCCCATGCTGGCCTGTAAGGGCCAATATTAGCCTCTGAGGGTCCCGCACTGGATTCGGAAGATCCGATACCGGCCCATTTATGGCTTGCATTGGCCTCTGGGGGGCCATCTTGGGCTCTGAGGGCCCTCTGCTGGCCTCTGGGGTCCAACGCCAGCCCATGCCGGTCTTTTAGGCCCCACACTGACCCCTGAGTGTTCCATGCATGCCTGTAAGGACCCCTAGCCTCTGAGAGCCCAAGTCGACCTCTGATGGTCTCAAACTGCCATTAGGCCCTTTACTGGTCTCTGAGGCCGTTAAACTGGTCTCTGATGGCCCAAACCGACCTCTAAACACACCGATCTCTGATGGCCCAGTTTCTGCCCTTGAGACCAAAGACTGGCCCTATGTGCCTCTGAGGGCCCCGTACTGGCTTCTGAAGGATCGATGCCGGTCTCTGAGGACCCATACCAATCTTTAAAAGCCCCACACTGACATCTGAGGCCCACGCTAGCCTCTGCGGGTCCCAAAATGGTCTCTATGAGCCCCAACCAGCCTATGAGGTCACTAAACTGGCCACGAATGGCCCTATTTTGTTCTCTGGGGGCCCAAGACTTGCCTTTGAGCGTCACGCACTGGCCTCTGAGGGCCCACACCGGCCTCTGGGGCCCCATAGCGGCCTTTGAGGCCGGTATGGTAATAATGGGACTCCTGCAAGCTAGCACTGGGCCTCCCGAGGGTCGACAGGGCCTCTTTGCCAAGTTGCCCCCGCCCCCGCCCCCCCCCCCCAACGCCAAGTCTGCGACCGTCCCTGCATGCATAGGCAGAAGGATGTGGGCACGCGTTTCATGATCGAAGAATATGCCTACTAGTAACTTCTTCGTTTTTTTCCAACTAAATATTAATTATTGTCCCTCGTTTTAAAATTAGAGTGGCCGAAACCCAACGAGGAACGCAGATTTGGGGGTAGGTGGGCATTGGCGACCAGACTCAAGCAAAGGTTTGTGGTGACGCCCTGGAAAAGTGTCCTTAGAAGTTCTGAAACCGTGGTGACGCCACTGGCGAAAAAAAAAAACTGTTCAAAATTAAATAAAACCTAAAACCTACAACCAACAGCCTAACCTACAGTGTCTCTCCTTGGTTGCAAAAAGAAGTGTGACGCCTGCTTTACTACTCCCCAAAATAGTGCCATTTAACCTTGCCAAGTTGAGCTTTCTTTGATTTGTCCATAGGTATTTTAAAATGTTGGGGGGGGGGCTGACTGGCAAGTTGGGGGGGGCTGACCAGCCAGTTGGGGGGGCTGAAGCCCCCCCCCCAACTGTATAGGATCCTACGCCCCTGGAGGTAGTGTGTGTCTAAAATCTAAATATTATGAAGCGAAGGTAAAAGTCAGGACAGGCTAAGATCTTTTTGGCTGTTATGTATGACAGGTAAAAAAGTTTACAAAGTCGTATAACATAACTTTTGAGCTTTAGGACAATCCTAAAAATGTGAAATCCTTAATCGGCATTTCCTTGCTCCCATTAAGTTACAGCCTTAGCTTATGGCTGTTCTGCATTAAATCCCTACTTCACACGTGAGTACCCACCTTATACCTATAAGTACAGCTTTCTTCTTGTGCTCCGAATCCACTAAATCTTACCATCTTAAGCTTGTGAAGCAACCGGCTTTTCAGCAAACCAACGAAATCAGGTAAGCTTCCTTCTCATATGAGCACGAGTGCCTGTAGTAGCGTCTGGATCCATGAGTAGACAAATACGGTCTACTAAGCCTACCAAGTCCGATTCTCACGGCCGTTTTTGGAGCGTATTGCGAGAGAACTGGTGAGAGTTTAGTCCATGGAAGCAAAAGGAAAGGACGCATTTTATGATACATAATAAAACACGCGCCCATCTGTCCTTTCATCCGTCCCATGCGCCAACGCGCGGTACCCCGCCCGCACTAACGCGACTCAGCCGTCCAGGAGAGTCGGCCGTTGAGCTTATTCAGAGTCCCAGACTCGAGAGTCGAGCCGAAATCCCTCCCTTCGCATCGGAGCGGCAGACAGACAGGCAAGGAGGCAGGGAGAGCGCCGCCGCCACCGTTGCCGCCGGGCTCCCGAACCGGTTATGTGACGGCCAGCCCGCGTGGCACCGCTAACGTCACTGGCTCGACCTATGACGTCATCAAAGCCAGCAGCACCACCGATCGGTTCTGAAGTGCGCGTCGGCGGGCCAGCGGCGTATTCTGGCTCTCACCTCTGGGGCGGGTCCTGCCGCGGGCTGGCCGGCGAGTGGTGTGATCTGGCGCCCGGCCCTGAAGAGAGGGAGGTCGGCCCACACACCGAGCGACTGTCCGAAGCCGAGCCGTCTCACAGAGGGAGCTCAAAGCGAGCTGAGGGCTCAGAGGCGCTGAGCGCTCTCACCGGAGGTTCTCACCGGCTGATTGCGCCGAGTCAGACAGGGTGGTCCTCAGCAAAATATCTACCCCAATCAAAGTCCGTCTGTCATGACAGGAATCGCCCAGACCCGCTGACGGTCATTCAGTCTGTCAGGAGTCAATCTGCTCTTCCAGTGGCTAGTCAAATTGAGCAGGAGTTTTCAAGTCTGTCAGGAGACATCCCGTTCCATCAGGAGTCAGGCTTTCACATTAGGATTCACATCATCGTTGCACCTGCCTGGAGCTAAGGATGCATTCTGCAGCTAGCGTTCAGGCTAGTAACCCTGACCTTGAATTCACTGTCAACGAACTCTTCCAGGGGCAACCAAATGAGCCAGCTGTATCTGTAGATACCTGCGCCGGCGTACTCTTGCCTCTTTCACCAAAACCCTGGAGATCAGTCCAAGCTCACTCTACGCCGGTCGCCGGTGGCATTCCTGCGGTACACCGCTCGGCCGGTCCATGATGCGGTAAAACCACCCATTTTTTAGAGGACGAATCAGGCACGAGCCCAAAGAAGTCTGGAGCGTCACGCAGCGGTGTGGACAGCTGGCCCCGGAACGGAACCAACACCGGCACGTGAAGGAGGCACGCCAATAAAACACGTCAGTCATATCGTGAGTCAGCAACTGCCGGCTAGACGTTCAGACACTTACAGCGAAAAATTATTAGCGTGAACGTCCTAAATTTATCGGAGGAAAACAATATTTTAATCCCGTTGTTCCGACTCTATAAGTTATTCGGGTAAAGTTATACGGTCTTTAAAATTTATTTTTATTTCGGTCAAAAAGCTTTGATCAAAAGAACCTTAGCTTTTCTTTCCTTCCCGTTTCTTTCATCTAACCTAAGCAAAATTATTTCGTTGATAGCGCTGTTTCGCCGCAGATTCTTCAGTCTCCTGATTGTGCCTGGCCTGCGGTCTCACGACTGCACACATCCCGTGGAACCCAGCTCGATGCTAGCGCAGCACGGACCGCATCCGCGCCGGGATTGGAACCGGAGTCCCCCAGTCTACGGGCGTGGGGACAGGACGAGGTGGGCGGCCCCGGGGGCGTTGTACTGTACGACCATCCACTCCGTGCACAAGTGCTCGACGGCAGTTAGAGCTGAGGCCAGCAGAAATGAGCAGCATGCCAGCCAGCTCGCCGCGCCGCCAATCAGGTGTAAGTACGGGCACTCTGCAGAAACTGGTAGTGGTTTTAAATAAATTACATGATAACAAGAGCCAGGTGAAGACCAGAGCAAAAGCAGGGAGGAGAGAGAGAGAGAGGGGGGAGAGAGGGAGAGAGAGAGAGAGAGAGAGAGAGAGAGAGAGAGAGAGAGAGAGAGAGAGAGAGAGAGAGAGAGAGAGAGAGAGAGAGAGAGAGATGGAGGGCAAGCGAGAGGGAAGTAAGCCAGATAATGCGAGGTATCAGTGAAAGTCAGAATGAGAGTAAGCTTTATAAGCAGGTGGGTGATAGGCATTAAACTCAGTACCTACCTATATAGTATATACTACCTACGTAGTACGTACCCTATAACCTTCTATCCTCCATTTTGTATGCATGTAGAGTGCAAGAAGGAAAATCCCTTGAGCGGTGCCTCTCATCCGAACGTAAAATGCGTGGGCATTTCTTAGCGGCGGCGCACACCCGGCTAATGCACCGTTAACGGTTCTAAAGTTGCTAACGGTGCCCCAAGTACCGGCGACGGTCGCTGCGCCCTGGTGTTGAATCCGGGATGGAGGTCTGCTCCGGGTTGAGTGCTCAAGCTCATGCAGACCCATTAAATAAAACGGATACGATAGCTATCCCCTCCTGATCTCCTCCACTAATAAAACGAACAGTTTTCAAAAATTGAGCACACATCATGTTTATATATAGTTAGTGTTAGCATTCGCATTGCGTCAGACGAAAGGCTATGGACGACGGAAGGCCTGCGCTGGACTCTGGCAACAGTTGCAAGCATTTTACTTGTTTTGTTATGTTAGGCTCTTTCGGTCTGACTGGACCATTTCAGAGCCGGGAGGATGATAGGAATTAGGGGGAGACATTGGTCTGAACAGGCACCCTACCCTCTTAGTGAGTCGTCGGGGCTGAGCCCATCCAGTGGACAGGCCAACCAGCCCCCAAAACACTTACTGCACCCGGCTACGGGCGTGCTCCTATAATGGGAGCTTCCCGCGTGGGATAAAGTTGCCTGACCAGCCCGGAGCAGGGGTTGAGGCGTGGAGGAGAAGGAATTGACCGTCCTAAGGATGGAAAAGGCAAAATGGTGCATTTATATGTAAGTACCGACATTTCACAATCGATATACGTGCCTGGGCCAATGAAAAACTATCCATCTCGCCCTATTAGGAGCTATGCGCCTCACCTTCATTTATATTTTCTGCTAATTATGCACTAATGGAGGTCTAATTTTAACCAAAGTTGCCTCATTATTTCGCGGATTACGGAAGAACAACACCGATATACCGCATTAATGGTGACTTAGCAATCGCAGCATGCTCGATTTATATTTGGACCCAGGTTTATAAGACTGTGGGGCACGGTAAGGGTATGCAATGAATGCTGGAATGAGTCTCTCAGTCTCAGACAAAATGTTTGGGATGGTAACGTATGCCACTACATCTAACCCTATCACTATTCTTCTGCCTCCCACCATAGGTACTATAAGACCTACCCTAACCCAGCCGATTCAGCCATTAAGTATACCGTACTTCTGAGGGTGTCTGAACATGGCAGACGGCAATGGCCGTTTTCAGGACGGGCTATCCGGCGAGTGCACCTAATTTGACCAAATCTGTACCTAATCTCAGATTACAGCAAATATCTGTACTTCATGAATTTATTTCAGTGTTTTCATCGATGATATTCTCTGATAATATGACAAAGCAGGTATATAAGCAATTAGTGCAACCCTAGCTGCAGCTAATAAGAGACACACTGAACCTGAGTTGACCGTCCAAATCTGCACCTAATCTGCACCAAATGTGCACCAGATGTGTACCAGATGGCTGTCGTGAAAACGGCTAATACCAGGCATTGGACAAAAATCTGTCCAAATGGGGAAGTTACGCGTTTCCTGACCGAAAATTGTCGGACGGGGAATTGGGGTAGGGGTGCGATCACGGCCGGTAAGACCGAACTTTTTGTGGAAGGCTCAAATCATACTCCTGCAGGTTGCATGACTGAAAAGGGCTTATCAGACCTCCCAAGAAACCAGCTTTCAATTTCATCAACAAATGCTAAACATGATTAGGAGGGGTGGAGCTTTTCCAGGGAAGTTGGTGGAACAAAAAGCCATCAAATCCACAATGTCTGATTGTCACGCACGCTGAGAAAACATGCTACAGTGAATCAATTCTTATCATTACAGAAATAATATTTTGCATCACAATACACAGGCATTTCAAAGCTCAGAATAAACTCAGAAAAGCCATTTTAATATGGAGAGTGTTTTAATTGTCAATACAATACAATACAATACAATACAGCTACCCAATGCGAAAAAGATTGATTGGCAAGGCAACTAAATCCTACGAATCAGTCGTGGATTTTGTTGCTGGGGCGCGCTGCGGCTTAGCTCACTGCCGTCATTATCTTCCGGACGGAGTCATCAAAGTGCTAGTGTCGGCACTTGTACTCTCACGGATCCGATATTGTCTAACTGTTTACGGAAATGGCTCGCAGCAAAATTTTGTCAGACTGACTCACCAAAATTATCAATTTCGCACTGAGGGTATTTTTGGCCGTCGTAAATTCGACCATGTTTCCCGTGCGCTAGATGACGCCTCGGCAGATGTGCAGGCGCAGATGCTGGAACTGATGCACAGAGTGCTGCGGAGGGGTGAACCGGACTCGCTGGCAAGCTCGCTTACCCGATGCCGGGACACCCGGCCGAGAAGCACGCGGCAGGACGACCTCCTCCGTCTATCTAGGCCGAGGACAGGGACCGGGAGGCGTTGCTTCGCCTATAGAGCCAGACCTCTATAATTCGCTGCCTGCCGGAGCCACCGGGCTGTCTCACCACCGTTTTGTGCGAGCAGTAAGAGGCAAGAGCCCATGTTTGACTTTGTGAGACGAGACCGTCAGGCGTCAGTGCGTATGAATCGTGGAATGTGGCCCGGGCTGTGAGCGTGTGTGATTGTTTTTACTGCTCTATTATGATGGTGTCGACGCCTGAGATGATTGCAACTTGCATGGTTTTATCCATTATCTTATGACTTGGGACAATAATAGCCACGACTGATTGTGGACTGCCCTGCAAATGTAATACCTACCTACATATATGTATACATATACATACATACCTACATACCACAGTCGCTTTATGACAGTTACTGGCCGCAGGCCATCACCATCCGCCGTCGGTAGGTATAGCAAGCGGCGAGGATCGAAGCGGCTCGAGCCGGAGCCTTTAGGCAACCGGTCGACTGGTCGACTCGGGTCGACAGGACACTCCCGCTGGGGCACTATGGGACGGGAAAAACATATACAATGTGGGAAAAACCAGGGTATATTGACTTGGAAAAAACATAGCCAAGGTCCCCCGTCTTGGCCAAGTAAGCTGCGTAACCCGCCAAACGACGTTTGATAGTTGCCAAGACTGGCACCCAAGGCCCCCAAGGCCGGCACCCACCAAAGGGGAGTGTCTAAAAAGCAGACGAGATTAGCAGACGAGACCATGCTCAGTAACTACTGGACCGATTTTGATAACTCTTTCACCATTCAATAGCAGGAAAGATATATAGGTGCCGTTTTTCGTTTTTGGCGATTGATTCACTCTGACTGGACCAATCGGACCAAATGGTCCAGAACCATAGACCCCTAAAAAGCAGACGAGCCCATGTTCCGAAACAGAACTACCGGGTGGATTTCAATATAACCTTCACCATTAGACGCGCCGTGGTCTGAAACGGTGCCTATTTTGATAATTTTTTGATTGGTCCACCCTGAGTGGTCCAAATCGGTCCAAAACCCCTAAAATCTGTTGCAGACGAGCCCATGCTCCGAAACTACTGGACCGATTTCGATGAAACCTTCACCACTAGACGCGCCGTGGTCTGAAACGGTGTCGTTTTTTATGATTTTTTGATTGGTCTACTCTAAGTGGTCCAAATCGGTCCAAAACCCCTAAAAACTGTTACAGACGAGCCCATGCTCCGAAACTACTGAACCGATTTCGATGAAACCCTTACCATTAGACGCGCCGTGGTCTAAAACGGAGCCGTGTTGGATAATTTTTTGATTGGTCCACCCTAAGTGGTCCAAATCGGTCCAAAACCCCTTAAAACTGTTGCAGACGAGCCCATGCTCCGAAGCTACCGGACCGATTTCGATGAAACCTTCACCATTAGACGCGCCGTGGTCTGAATTGGTGCCGTTGTTTTGATAATTTTTTTATTGGTCGCCCCTAACTGGTCCAAATCGGTCCAAAACCCCTAACATAAAAAATATCAAAAACTGCACCGTTTCAGACAGCGGCGCGTCTAATGGTGAAGGTTTCATCGAAATCGATCCAGTACATGGGTGTCGATTTGTATACTTTTGGGGGTGCTGCAGCACCCCCAATGCTCAAGTGAGCACCCCCAATGGTTTTCCGGGCACCCCCAAATGTTCCAGTTAGCACCCCCAATTATTTTGTCCCTCAATAACTCCCACTAACTCTGCTTGAGGAAAATAATTGGTTCCGCAGTCTTTCACTACTAAAAATAAAACAATTACGCAATTTACAATGCATGAAATAAAAATGTAAAGAAAAGTAAGTTAGAGGGCCATCACAGGCGCGCGTGTGGCCCTCAGAACTGCTGTTACGGAACGGATATACCCTTCATGGCCGACAAGAAGATATCAAGAGGTCACCGGTGCCTTCAGGAGCCTTGTGGGGTTCTCAGAGACCGGGCATGGTGCTCTCAGACGCCGCTGTGACCCTCCGAGTCAACTGTGTGGGACCGTCAGGGTCGCTGGTAACTGACGAGAGTATCGCCGTCAGATCCGGGGTTTGGGTCGATACGGCTCTATTCCGGCTAGCCAGTATATGCCGTAGCGCTCCCGGGTTGGTACGGTTCCGAACGGCCAAGTCTGGCTCAAGTCAGACTCCCTGCCATGGCTCAAGTCTGGCTCCCTACGACCAGGTCCG